CTGTTTCACTGGGGCTGAGACACTTTGCCAGTGATGTTCCTCACACTCAGAAAGCTGACTTTCTCACACGCCTGCCTCGTGATACAATTTTATGCTTAAAAAAAAAAAAACAAAAAACAAAACAACTTTTACAGAAAGCAAACTAATGAGGTAACTTGGCCAAGAATGCCACATGGAGCCCAGATGCATTCTAAGAAAATGACGATGACTCTGGAAGCTGGAGATTCATTTTGCAGTATGTCAGCATCCCAAATTTTCTTTTTCCAAGTAAAAAATAACATGAAAATCCAGAGAGGTAGGGAGACCGATAGGTGCCAAGAGAGGTGTTTGTGAGCATAGCAGTGCCCAACAGCTGTATCTCTACAAGTCTTTAAGCACACAGGAGATATTTTATGATTATACTCCTGGTGAAAAAGGATCATAAGGATAGCAATTAAATCCCTGACAATTGTCTGCAACCCCCAAATCAGATTATCCCCGTTTTCCATCTTACATTTGCCATAAGCATTTATGGGGTGATTAACCCTATCTCATCCTGCATTTCACTGTTTTCTCTTTCCTCTTTGTGATTTTATGTGGAGCTCAGAAAGTTTCCTAATGTGCTTTATTACAAAATTAGCTGAAAAGAGAGGTAAGCTCTTGCAACAGATGTCCCACTCGGCCAAATGTTCATTGAACTGTGAGGGAGGAGGAAGCAACCTTCTAAAACCAGTTAGAAACTCAGCAAATGAATACTGAATATGCTAGCAATGGGGAGGAAAGCTGCTATATCAATCCTTATTCCGGCTTTAAATAATGCCTCACAGTGTAATTAGACAGAGCCCACCTGGGTTGGGATCAGAGGCTTTCATTTGAGACCTGCCATCAACTTGAAGGCTGTGATTACTTAAATACCACTGCTGATTACATAAGGGATATCATACAGCAGGGTGTGGTGTACTGGGAAAGAACCACATGTACTAGAAAAGCAAGCCGCCACACGCATTGCCAGACATGTTATCTTCCAACCATTTTTTGTTGACCTTCTTTCCATTCAAAAACACACAGCTGGTTTGGTGAGGGATAGGAAGGCTGGTTTATATATAATGTTCTGTCTTGCTCTTCTAGGACAGGCTGGAAACTTGGTCAGTCTGCCAAATGGCCTCTGCCCAGAAGCTATTTTACAGCTTTTGCGATGACAAACTCTGAGAAATTATCTCTTTGGGGCTTACGGTCTCAACCAGGCATGCCGTCAGAAGATGGGGCTAGCACTGAGAGGAAGGAGATAAATAGCACATCTGACTATCTGGTCTGCCAGCCTGCTCATCAGTGTTATCTCCTGGCCAGAGTTTCATTTTCTAATGAATAATCATGGCTGCACTCCATTTGGCTAAACTCGTAACAGTAATATTATGGTTTTGTATTGCTTCTATGGAGCTCAGTTCCACCTCTAAATAATCTTCAATTCTAGCAGTGTATCACCCTTTCCAAGACAGTTTTTCTTTAGTGCAGTAAATACCTTCAACAGGGAAACCAATACAACAGCTAGCACCTACTCCAAGAAATCGAAATAATATACAAACAAGCTACATGATATAGATTCACAGACATGGATAAAGATGGTAAAAACTACAAACTTTGCACACCATATCACAGTATCATCACCAGAACTCTCCTTTAATCGAACAGCTGTTGCTAGTTGCAAAGTCGTGTCTGATCCGTCGCGACCCCATGGACAACATTCTTCCAGGCCTTCCTGTCCTCCAGCATCCCCCGGAGTCCACTTAAGCTTATGCTGACTGCTTCAGTGACTCCATCTAGCCACCTCATTCTCTGCCGTCCCTTCTTCTTTTGCCGTCAATTGTTCCCAGCATTAGGCTCTTCTCCAGGGAGTCCTTCCTTCTCATTAGGTGGCCAAAGTATTTGAGTTTCATCTTCAGTATCTGGCCTTCTAAAGAGCAGTCAGGGTTGATCTCTTCTAGAACTGATTGGTTTGATCGTTTTGCAGCCCAAGGGACTTGCAGGAGTCTTCTCCAGCACCACAATTCAAAGGCCTCAGTTCTTTGGTGCTCAGCCTTCCTCATGGTCCAGCTTTCACAGCCGTACATTGCAACTTTGAAAACCATAGCCTTGACTATACTCACTTTTGTCGGCAGGATGATGTCTCTGCTTTTTAGCATGCTGTCTAGATTTGCCATAGCTTTCCTCCCAAGGAGCGTCTTTTAATTTCTTGGCTGCAGTCAACAGCTGCAGTGAGCTGTTGGCTAGACCCTGTTAAAAGACAAACGAGCAGGGCTTTTTTTTGTCATAGAACGCACTGGAACGGCATTCCGGCACCTTTTTTTGACGGATTTTTCCAAGTGATTGTGAATCGCCCTGTTGGGCGTAGCAGGTCAGCGGCAAAAATCATTAACATAGTGTCTGCAGGCTGCTTGTGTGTGGGCGCTGATTGTGAGGGCGCTGCTCGGCTTGGGATCAGTCATGTGGTCGCGCACCGAGTGCTTACTGCCGGCGGCGCCCATTGTGTAAAAGTGTGACACCAAGACGTGAGTTCCGGCACCTTATTTTTTTTACAAAAAAAAGCACTGCAGACAAGTATTCTGAGACTCCATGCTGTCTGTTATTGCACAGAAGCTAGTCTTTACCTCCAAGAATTGGGCATCTCACTATTAGCCTTGCAACCCAAACTCAGTTGTAAATCTCACTGACTTTAATGGAACTTGCTTCTTACTTTGTATGCAGGGTTCAATCCAATGCTCATCTTCCACTGGGAAACAGAAATCCCTAGGATAGTGGATCTCCCTTTCAAGATTTGGGGCATATATTTGGTGTGGGGAACAGGCTATAGGAAGGAGTAAATAGGTAAATCTTGCTGTGCCAGCAGAAATCCATTTACACAATATTTTGTTATATTTATAGCTGCCTTTTTTTGGAACCCAAGACAGTCTACATATTTTTCATCTTTCCTATTTTATTAGTATAATCCAGTGAGGTAGTTTAGGCTGAAAGTCAGAGACTGGCTCAAAGTCACCCAATGAACTTATGTACATGTGGGGCTTAGAACCAGGATCTTCCAAATCCCAGTCTAACATTAACCACTATACCACACAAGTGCAAATCCCCTGAATCCTAGGAAGTTTTATGAAAGGAACATTACAATTATCAGGAGTTTAGGAATTAGGAACTTTTTAATGAACACAGTGAGTCTAAACAATAAAGTAAAATTACACTTAAGAACTTATAAAATCCCCATTGGCCACTTACAACAAGATGAGCAACCAAAGACTATATAACTGTTTCATTATCAGTGTGAGACATAATACTTACCTGTTGGGAATCCAAACACTAAACCTCAAGGTGGCATTTCATTATCAGTTTCCTGCTAATGGTTGGAACAACTACTGGGGGGACCTCCAAAAAACAGGAATTTATTTGTAAAAAATTGTGTATTTATTTTTACATGTTCAAACTTCAATCACCTTCAAAGTAGTTTCCATTTGATGCAATACACCTATTGAGACATTTTTCCACTGCTCAAAAAAGGTTTTGAATTTGTCACTTTGATGCCTTTTAGTGCTTCTGCTGTTTGTTTCACCTCTTCCATATTGGCAAAATGCTTCCCTTTAGAGACTTTTTTCATCTAGGGAAACAAAAAAAAAAGTTGTATGGAGTGAGGCCAGGTGAATAGGGAGGGTGGAGCACACAGGTTATGCTGTCTTTGGTCAAAAACTGCCGAACACTCAGCTGAACAAAATTTCACTGCCACACATTGTGTAAATCAACAATCACAAAATAGGCAAATCATTGAAGTCTCCAAAAAAAAAAAAAAAATTCACTGAAGCCAAATGCAGCCTCACAACCACCCAGCTGGGTACACTGACGCAGATGATTTCCTAGAACACTCACCTAGTGGGGGAAGCCTGTGCTACAGGGGACCTGCCCTCCAGAAGATAAATCCTGGGGTTTTTTGGGTTTCCCCTCATATTCCCATCTGGAATGCAACTACATGAATGTCTGATCCTTTTCATGAGAACCCTAGTTATAAAGCAATGCAACTCAACACTTATGGCCACTTTTGTGACCTTTTAAGGACATTCAATGTTCTTTTTTAGAGGTCGAATGCTCTCCTACTGTATTGCTCATCAAGCCTTTAAAAAGAACAGGTAAGCTCCTAGAATGCACTGTTTTCTGAACCTTACTTAAATGACCGTTACAACATGGTGTATGGGTGCTTCATTTCAGTATTCTGGAAGAAGGCACAACTGGCTTGCAAGAATACTCAATCCCATTTCCCCTTTCTCACTTATTTTTCCATATTTAACTTGCAAAGGGAATTCAGCAATAAGTGGCTACTGGGCATGCTCAGTCCTCAGCAGAACCGAAAAAGGGTTTTGCCCACTTTGTTTTTATCTCCTATTTTGTATGTGTGTGTGCGTAGTTCTCCAGAGCTTGGTGGTTTTCTCATGCTAATAATCTTCCATGTGCTGTTTCCCGTTTTGGCTGCAGTTCCTGATGGAACTAACCAACGGAGTTTGCTATTAAAGAGAATCGTAAAGAGTGCTAGAAATTTAAGTGCACATCTCCCTTTTCCTCCCAGTAAGCACCCTGACTTTGTTGGCAGAGACAATAGGCAATTCCATACCAGCCCTGCAGCATGTGTTGATATGGTACTTTGTTACTTCCACTAGATCGGTGCTGAGGTAAAGTGCAAACTTTTAATCACTGCATATATAACCTCCGGCAACATGAAGCAGGAAACACAGGAGCCCAACAATAATTTTACTAATGGCTATCATGAGTAGTAAAACCCTTTGTGTAAGGCAGGAGTGAAATACATGTGTTCCCACAGATGTTGGACTACAATTCCCATATACCCTAGCCAGGAAAGCCCATGGTAAAGGGTCATGAGAGCTGCACGCTGCCAAGATAAGGACAATCATGTGCTTTCCATCCCTAACTAAGCTGCTGAGAAAGAAACAACAGTCTTTACTGAAAATTTTTAAAACACCAGCATCACACTATTAGTTTAGCCAAACTGTGTTTAATTTGGTAGGAAATTTGCATTCATCAGTATTTAGGCAATGCTCTTGGGCAATGCTCACTTCCTGCTTGGTTCTTTAAAAATGTAACAAAAACCTGTTTTTTCCTTTTTAAACTTTGAATAGAAAAATAAAAATATATCCTTGTCAAACAATTCTGCCATAGTATTCCATTTCAATAAACAAAGGTAGCTGGTGAAGCTGCATATTTAACAGTCTCTGACACAGAAGCTTAACATTGGTGAGTAGCCCTAATACATCAGGAAGATTCACCTTATTTTTACAACCATTAGTTGGATCAGACTAAGGAAAAATATGCTGGTAAACTGCACTGGCTGAACAGAACACTGAGATAATTTCATAGCTGCTCACTCTTGGCACTCAGTTAACAGTTTTGCTTTTACCCAAAGGAAGGCAATGAAGGTTCTCTGCTGACCAAGTCATTTATCAGTGGAACTGGGACAGGGGAGGAATTCTTGCTCCCCACGAGACTTTTGTGTATCTACAAAATCTGTTCTAGAGGGTAGGGAGATTTTCTCAGAGTGGGGAGCCTACAGATGGGGAGTGGGGAAGACGGATGCAAACAGCCTTCTGCTGTCACACTGCTGGATTGCACACTAAGTTTTTATACCAAATGCAACTATGCCCTACTCCATACATTTCCCTCGCTTTAAGTAGTTCTCTACTTGCCAATCGAAGTTTTGTAGGGACCATTGCTTTGGGGTGTTGAGTGGAGACAGATCATATTCCTGAAGAAGGCTTTGTGAAACCTGCTTATTGACAGGCTGTAATGCTACATCCTTCGGAGAGCTGAAACTGTCATTTTTGTCAGTCTGAAGAACTTGTGATATTGGGGAGTCAAGGTCACTACCTACAGAGGAACAGAAGGACCTTCTTGGTAGGGACCGTGTATCCCTCTTGTTCTTGGACAAAGTGCATGTGTGTTTTGACATTACAGTTGTCTGATGTTTTGGAAGCTGGCTGACAGCACTGCCTCCTAGCTGATGCTTAGTAGAGGCCACACATTTGAAGTTCACTGGGGAAAGCACACACTGGCTTTCAAGGGGGGTTTTTGGTTCTGCCACTATTTCTTCCTGCTCCTCCTCGTATGGGGAGTACCCATCGACACACCCAACTTTACAGTAAGGCACTGATTTCTTCATGGGTTCTGAACAATTTTGTTGGAAAACTTCTGCATCACAGTCACTTTCACTATTGCTGATACATTTCTCTGGGGATTCAAAACAAACTCCCCTGGGCACATGGCGATGAACAGCTAGTTTTGACAACCTTAAGGGCCTTTTCTGCTTCATGTTGTTTTGCATAAATCTTTGTACTGATTCAGGGACTTTGGGCTCCAGAAGTGAACCATTCTCAGATCTCAAGTACTGCTGGAAATATGCGTAACATGCCTCCTTCTTTACTATTGGGATTATGCTGCAGGGTTTTAGCCAGACTACAAACTCTAGCAACTCTTGGAAAGATGAGTGGTCTGAATAAGGAATAATGTAGGCATCAGGATGGCTGATCTTCACTGGCCGGCTGGTAGGGAGAACAGCTATGGTTGGATGCCTTTGGTTCCAGCTATTCATAGTTGCTTGGCCAATTTCTGAAAAATCTACAGCCTGGATCCAACCAGCCCCTTCTTCAGAGGTGAATACATCCTCAATCTCCAGCAGTTGCACAAGTTCTAGCTTCCTGGGACTCACAACAATCCAGGTGTGAAATTCTTGGGCCAGTTCCACCAGCAATGACTCTTTTCCCAAACTGTAGGTACCTAGAAGTGGGCAAATAAGTGCAAATATTTTGAATGCTGGACAGCACATGATCATGTTTATTCTACCCAGACAGTAAAATTTATTCAGCTGTTATTACTATCTCAAACTTAGGGTTTCTGATATAGCTTTAGACTCAAAGCCTTCAAGGAAATTAAACACTACCCCTTCCCTTAACAGGCTCCTCCTTCAATCACTCTCATGCTGCTAAACACCACATCATTTCTGATGATGTAACCAGATTCTGCATATTCATCCAATGTCCAGAATAATTAGTGTGGATGGGATCTATTTTCACGGATGCTTCTGGAAACATCCATGTTTGTGTTCCTCTCTGTCTCTGAAGAGTCTGTGTGAGCAACTTGTGTCCCTAGAATAGTGTGCAGCATTCAGGCGAGGCCTTTGGCAATAGCCAGCTGCCCATTCCCTGGATGTCTGCTGCATGGAAAGAAAGAGGGAGAGAAACAGGGGTGGCAAAAGAGAAAAGAGATATCAACCCACTTTTGACTCTGTCCTTGTCCACTGCTGACATCAACCAGG